TGTGATTCCCTGGCAACCATTTGTGAACTTTATGTGTTGTTTTTATCCTCATCTTAAGACATCTGCCAATTGTTTTCATCATTTGTCTAAAAAGTGAACCTTCCCCCTCCCCAGCCTCCTTAGCTCTCAAAGACTCACGTTTCTTTGATCTCCTTACATCTTGTCCACTGGTCCCACCCCATGTTCCTTTAACAAAGCTGTCCTTGCTTTGAAGACCCCCTCATGTCTCACCTCTCTTGCAGTTCTGCTAGGTACCTGCCTCTCTGGCTCCCTGCCCTTCCCTGTGGAAATGCTGACAACCAGAAGGGGCTAGACTTTCCTTGCAACAAGCCATTCTCACAAACATGAGCCCACTTCCATACGAAGATTGTGTTTCTTAAGGACATAATCACCCCTTACAGTCAATCCTCTTCCTTCTTTTTTTTTAATGAATTATTTTAACATAAGTGTAAATAATAGAATTAATTCAGCAACTGTATTTCTTTGCCTTTGCTAGTCCTCTGTAACACACAGAGAACACAGATTTATTTCAAGCTGCACCTCAATAGCTAAAAATTTAAAGGATCTACCTTAACCTCTAAGCCTCCCAGTCACAATTTCATGATACCTGCGTATTATTATTGATCTGACTCTTTGGCTTCAGATATTTATTTTTATGGTGTTTTCTCAGACCCTCTCCTCGTCTTGACCTGAAATTCTTTTCTGTCTCTCTTCTCCCCTGGCTGACATAACCTTCCTCCCCGTTCCATCTTCTGCTCAGCCATTGTGGAATCAGGATTCATTGACATGGCAGAGAATAAGTGGTATTGTTTACAAAACTTGAGGCAGGAGATTCTCTGGATTTAAACAAGACAGGAGGGCAGAGAAATCAGCATTTGAATAATACAGGAGTAAACCTTACACAACAGACAGAAGCATTATGCATACAAGACATAAACTGAGAAAACCTCCGCCTTCTAACACTGCCACGATGACAAATTTTCACATCAGTGTTGGAGGAGACAAAGCATACCTAAGCCATACCTGGCAGAAATATTACCTACATCTGATCAATGAGAAGAATATAGACATAAAGGTGTGTTCTCTCTCTCTCCTCTCTCTCTCTCTCTCTCTCTCTCTCTCTCTCTCTCTCTCTCTCTGTGTGTGTATCTGTGTGTGTGTCTGTGTGTGTGTGTCTGTGTGTCTGTGTGTGTGTCTGTGTGTCTGTGTGTCTGTGTGTGTGTCTGTGTGTCTGTGTGTGTCTGTGTGTGTGTGTGTAGAGAAGGGTAGGCAGCTCTGCATGCACTTGTGTGCAGGTGTGTATAGAGGCCAAAGGTTAATCTCAGGTGTCAGTCTTCAAGCCTTTTTGACAGGGCTGCTCAATGGACTGGAGATTGCTTTGCAGGCTAGATAGACTAGCTGCCGAAGGAGCCCTGGAGATCTATCTGTATGTGTATGACTGGCTCCCCAGTGCTGCAAATACAAGCAAGCGCCACACCACATCCAGATTCTCTTACATGGCTTCGGAGATCAAGGTCAAGCCTTCATAACTGGGAAGGCAAGCCCTTTACCAACTGAGCCAGCTCTCCAGTGTCCCAAAGGCTACTAAGAAACATTGTGCTACCTACAAAAGAGGCTCACAGGAGAAAACTGTCTCTTCCCCATCCTTCCTTTCTCTCTCAGATGTTAGTTAAAAAGATGGAAGACTAGGCTGTGTCATCTTGCTATTATAAGAGAAGTCCAAGAGCACAGAAGCCAACATTGTGTTCCACCATCCTGAGAATCACCAAGCCTTTGTGACAACTACTCAAATACCCAAATAACAGCAGCCAACTAGCTTAAGCACTCTCCTGGAATGCTTCAACTGATTCACTTTCACAGAATATGTTGGCTTGTCTATGCTGACCTCACTGCAAACCTTACTTCCAAATGTTTAAATGAGGTGGGGGGAGGAATACTCAGTACACACAGGTGGAACAGATTTGGAGATTATGTGCTGAGGTGACCAGCTCTGCCTGGGTGGGCGAGGTGCTGCACACTGGGATGTAGGAACAATCACGTACAAGATGCAAGGTCCAGAGCAAGAAGGGGCTGAAGATGAAGACAATAACGTTGAAAGTGGTCATCACATCATGACGTCAACAAGGCTTCCAAAAGAGTTCTCCCTACATAGTGGACAAGGTAGAGGACTTTCAGCCATAGGCCAATATAGTCAGATTTAGATTTTCTTCTTTTCTCATGGCCTCTTTGTAGTTTTTAAATCAAAAATAAACAAACAAACAAACAAACAAACGGAAAAACCACTTCTTACCTCACCCCTCCCAGTGATTTGACAAAGCATGGCTCAGAGTTTCTACTCGGCATGGCCAGACCTTCTACAGATATTCTTTGCTCCATAGTACATAAAGAGAGAGCCACAGGTCTGCTCCCAGCGAGCCTCTTGTGCTCCTAGTTGATTCAGTGTCAGCTTGACAGGGAACCCAAGTGGCCCAAAGGATGCTAAATGGCTAAAGGAGTTCCTGTCTGTCACATGATTTGATTAAGCAAGCATTAAATCATTTAATTTCAAAGTAAAAGGTAGGAAGATTAGTGAGTCCTTCAACTGTCCCAAACTATCCACACAGGTAGTCTTACCCTGCAACTCATTTCCCAGTCAAGGGCTTAGCACTCTCTGCTTTGTCGTTGTTGCTTTAACTCGGTTACTCCAATAACGTCATACACCTTCACCGTCTTTCTAAAATGGCCTTCATTCCTGGCATCTCATCATGCAATTGAATACTACATAAAATAAAATGGGTAAAGCTGAAATTGCTAATAGTATAGAGAGTCACACAAACCCCACATGTATCATCCCTGATTATTAGCCGGCTCCTGCAGCATGAACTGGAGTCATTCAACAAGTAACTCGTATTTCCGAAGGCTTTGTCTGTAAAGATTGGCTTACACGTAGGTACTGAACTTTCTGGGAACACAATGGTCAGGAGCTTTGTCTCTAGATTCATCGAAACGGCCCTTCTTCTGAGAACCCAGCCTTCTGTCTCACAAAGGAGCTCATTTTATTTCCTCCTCTTATGTCAGTCATCACTGAGCTCAAATTAATCTCCCAAGAAAATCACATAGACCTGAAAATCTGTTAGCACTGCCTCCTTACGAGGAAACCACAAAGCAGATAAAAATCAGCTTTCTCAGTTCCAGAAAGCCACTGTCGTTGGCGTACTGTTTCCACTCCCTGATGTTCTCTCCCAGGGGTCAACAGCCAACATCTGCAGACTAACTACAGACATTTTTCTATTTTTATAAATAAAGTTTTATTGGAAGACAGCCATTTCCATTAGATTACATCCTATCTGTGGCTGCTTTAGGACTACAATGCAGAAATGAGTCACCACAACAGAAACCATCTGGTTTACAAAGTTCCAAATGTTTACTCTCCAGCCCTTAAGAGAAAAAGATTTGTTATCTCCAAAAGTCATGACTTGCTCTTACACTTTGGATATCTTAAGTTTATGGCATTAACATTTTAACATGTCAACACCATTATACATAAACGTCAGTTAAAACCAGTGTTTGTAAAAGATCATAATGTTCTCCTGATTTATTAGATGGTTATTTTTAAATATATAGGTTTTTAATTATCTTCTTTCTAACAGCATCTAAAATCTAGAGCCCAACAGTTGCTATTCAGTTGTGTTTTAAACAGGCTCAAACTTTAGAATAATAGCAACAATAATAAAAAGATTCATTGTCAAAAGATGAAAATCAAACAGCTATAACTTTAAGAGAAAGTTTTTTTTTTAAAGTAATTATTCCCTAACTTGGAAAGTGATTGTGTATTCCTCCTTTCCCTTTTAGAAAATCACGTCTCTAAAAACATCTCTCACCCTCAGATCTCTTTATGTCATGGATCATCCTATTTTTAATGGTATGACCAATCTTGTAAGAATTTATCAATGAATCATAGAAAAAGAGAGATTTGTACGTTAAGCAAAAGTGATACAGGAAGGAATGAACATTGACCTTCTGCTGTAGATGTCAAGTGCACAGAGCATCGGTGTGCTGTAGGTGTCAAGTGCACAG